AGATGCTTCCCCCCTCCCCAAACCCCTCCCCCCGGAGCCTGGTCCGGTCGTTTTGGAGGGGGGGGGGGGGGGTCCGGCCGGATTCCCCGGGATCCGCCGGCGCGGTCCGGGGGGGGTCATCCGCTCCAGAGAGTCTGCTGGGGGGGCCGCAAACGAGCGAAGAGGCTCCCAAAAAGCTCTGCAGACGGTCCAAGAGGGCCCCGAGTCGCCGAAAAAACACTCGAAGACGGTCAAGATGGCCTCCAGATGGCCCCAGATGCCTCCAAGACGCCCCAAGAAGCTTCCAAGACGCCTCCCAAGATGGCCCCAAGAGGCCAAAATCGTCGATTTCCATTGGTTTTTTCAACGTTTTTGGCCTTCGCGTTTTTTCGGGCTTCCGACGCTCCAAGACGGCGAAAGAAGCCCCCAAGACGGCATCAAGACGACCCGAGAGGCTCCCAAGTGGGCCCCAACACGGCCCAAGAGCGCCTCAAAACGGCTCAAGAGGGCCTTCAGACAGTCCAAGAGGGCCCACAGAGGGGCCCAAGAAAGGCTCCAGACGGGGACCACGAACCTAAAATTCTAGCCTTCCGCCCCAAAAGGCGCCAAGGAGGCCCCAAGAGGCCTCCAAGAGGCTCCAAGAAGCCCCCAAGAGGCCCCCAACAAGCCCAAAAAAAGCCCCAAGCTGCCCCAAAACAGCTCCCCAGAAGCCTCCAAACTGCCTCCCGCAGGCCCCCGAGAGGATTCTCACGACGACGGCGCCAGAGGCTCCCACAACGGTCAACGAAGCCCCCAAGATGGCCCCAAAAAGGTGCCCAGCCTACGCCGTCGAGTCTGTCGCCGCCATTGTCGTCCTCGTCGTGTTCTCCTGCTCCTTCTCATCCTCCTCTTCCGCCCCCTCCTCCCGTCTCCCCTCTCAGCTTTCTGTCTCGTATTCCCTCCACTGGCTCACTTTTCACCTTCTCCGCCTTTGGCTGCTCCCCCATCCTCCCTCCTCCACGTCCCCCTTATCCATCCCGTCCCCAGCGGTCAGATTCCTCGCAACTTCCGTGCCTTGTCGCAATGCTCGTCACTTGGTTCCGCCGGGCGTTTCGGAGGAGGAGGAGGAGGAGGAGGAGGAGGAGGTTAATAATAATAATAACAATAATAATGATGATAATAGTAGTAATAATAGTAGTAATAATAATAATAATTATTAACAAAAAATAATAATGATAATACTAATAAAAATTATTATTATTATTATTATTATTAATAATAAGAATAACACTAATAATACTAATGATAATACTAATAAGAATAATAATAATCACAATAATAATAACACTATGAACAATAATAATAGTATTAATAATAATAATAATAATAAGAGTAAAAATAATAATAATAATAAGAAAAATAATAATCCGCCGACCCCTTGGGGATCATCGGCGTGTGAGATGCTTCCCCCTCCCCAAACCCCTCCCCCGAGAGCCCGGTCCGGTCGATTTGGAGGGGGGGGGGTCCGGCACGAGCGCAGCACGGCCGGGACGAGCGCAGCACGGCCGGGACGAGCGGTTCACGGAGCTTTTCCGGGCCCAAGAGGGCCTCAAGACGGGCCAAGAAGCCCCCAAGAGGCCTCCAAGACGGCCCACGAAGGCCCCGAGACGCCAAACGACCGCTCCAAGACGCCCAAGATGGCCCCAAGACGGGCCAAGAGGTCTCCAAGACGGCCCCCGAGGTCCCAAACAAGCCTCCCAAGAGAGCCCCAAGAGTCTAAAATTGTTGATGTTCCATAGTGTTTTTCTATGTTTTTTGCTTTTCCGCCTTTTCGGCTTCCCGACGCTCCAAGACGGCCAAAGAGGCCCCAAAGACAGCCCCAAGATGGCCCAAGAGGCCCCCAAGACGGCCTCCAGACGGCCCAAGACGGCCCCAACACGGCCCAAGAGGTCCCCAAGACGGCCCAAGAGGGCTCCAAGACGGCACCAAGAGGGGCCCAAGAGGGCGACCAAACATGTTGAAACTCTAGCTTTCTGCCCCCAGGAGCCCCAGGGGGCCCCAAGAGTGCCCCAAGAGGCCCCCAGAGGCCCTCACGAGGCCGCCCAGACGCCCCAAGGAACCCCCAAGAAGCACCCCAGAGGCTCCGAAACGGCCCCCAAGTGGCTCCAAAACTCGCTTCCAGAGGCCCCCGAGAAGCGATCCGCGAGATCCCGATACACATACAAGAAGCCTCTCACCCATAACCCATAACCCAGAGCCCCTTCGCAGCTTCTACTACCCCCAGATTGGCATAAACAAGGGGTCGGCGGTGTGGCGTAAGCCTAAGAATCAGAAGGCCGCGCGGCGGAGAAGAGGTACCCGAACCCGAGGCCCCCCGCCACAGTCTGCGGCCTGCGGCAGGCTGGGGCACCGCAGGTCCCTGCCTCGCGCACTCTTGGGCCCAGGCTTAGGTCGGGCCTGTCCCCCTACCGGGGGGATGTGGGCAAAATATCAAAAATACTCCAAAAGCACGCCCCGAATGCTCAGAAATAGTCAAACAAATCGTCCCATGAACTTTTTGTTGTCTATTGTTGAATTTTCCCCCTATAGGGGGACAGGCCCGACTGAAGCCCAGGCCGCACCATCTCTGCGATCGGGCACGCATTGAAGGGATCGCGCCAGGTCCCTTTTGACGGGAGCAGGCGACGCTCAGGTGACGATCCCGTGGGAGCAATACTTGATACCCCTCAGAACCCTGAGATCCTGGCGTCTCGACATTTTCGAGCCAGGCGCTGTCGCCTTTTTCCGGGCCCCGGGACCCTCACAGGTTGATCCGGCTCGAAAAGTGACGCAGAAAGATGTGAAGGGGCCCTGGGACACACGCATAAATACACAGATTCCCCATATTTCCCCAGATTTTCCGGGTTTTAGTCTTCCCCCCCACTGCCCATATTTTCCTATAATTTCTGGGGAATCGACGATGAATTGTGTCTGTGTGTTTTTCCCTCTTGATTTTCACGATGTTGCCATTTGTCCGTTGCGTCGGCTCGCAGGGGCAGGCGGCGCCCGGGGGGCGATTCCGAGGGAACAGTGCTTGCTACCCCTCAGAGCCCCATAGCTGGACACCGTCGGGAAATGGCAGGGGGGTCCCTGGGGGGGGGGCCCGGGTCAGGATACCACCTGGGGCCCTCCAGGGAATCCCGGGGCGTCGTCGTCGTCGTCGTCGTCGTCGTCTTCATTTTCGTCGTCGTCGTCGTCGTCGTCGTGGTTATCGTCGTCGTCGTGGTCGTCGTGGTCGTCGTGGTCGTCGTCGTCGTCGTGGTCGTCGTGGTCGTCGTGGTCGTGGTCGTCGTCGTCGTCGTCGTCGTCGTCGTCGTCGTCGTCGTCGTCGCCGTCGTCGTCGTCGTCGTCGTCGTGGTCGTCGTCATCGTCGTCGTGCAGGGTCGGTGGCATCGGCCGTAAGGCCTCTCCAATAGCCAAACCGATGTCGGCGACGTTTTGCCTTGAGAGCATTGGGCCGATGATAGCCTCGGTAGGGCTGCAGACCGAAACGCTCCAAGATAGCCTACGACGGCCCAAGACCGAGGGAGAATGCTAGGGAGGACTGCCTCAGGGGAGGAAATATCGAGCTGGCCTCGGCGCCACAACGCCGATATGCTGGGCGAATCCAAACGTTCCTGGGTGGGGTGGGCTATCGGGGCCGTATCGGCGGATGACTGGGCGATGGGAGGTCGATGCACCCCCCCTCTGAGCTTATGTATCCCCGAGCTCGCCTGAATCATCGGGCGCATTGACGGCCACGAGACCTCCGATATGCCCTCAAGAGACCACCCACAAAAACACAAAAAAACATAAGCCACCCAGGGGCTCAAGAGGTAACACCACCCCCTGCAGCCTCCAAGAAGCCCCCAGGGAGGCGGCGCAAAAAAACCACACCACGTCACGGCAGCGCCGCGCTGCGACACCGTGGCGATGCCTCCCAGCACAGCCCCCGGATGACTCTGCAGAGCCTGCCCAGAGACCTCAGCAAGATCGCCCTGTGGACGACTCCGGAAGCGCTGAACCCCAAAACGCTCGCACCTCTTGGGGACGCATCTTTGACCTCCGCCGCCCCCCGCCAGCCTCCGCCGGCGGAGCCGCCCTCGACTCGCTTCCGCGGCCCTCCGCCGCCCGTCCGCCGCCCTCCTGCCGAGGAGAGGGCGCCGACTCCTTCGGCCCTCGAGGGCACGGGGCCCTTTCTGGAACGCCCCGTGTGCTTCGGCGCTGCGCTGGCGCGGTTTGCCGCAGGCGGCCGCATACTTCGAGCTGAGACTCCGCACCACGACGCGCGCGGGCGCGTGCCGCGCGAGCAGCTCGTGGAACTCGTCGAGCACCAGCCTGGAGAGCAGAACACCCACCCTCAACACAAGCACCCCGACAAACGAGGCCGTCTAGCAAACGCACCCGAGGAAGGCATCGAACAGAGCAGGGCTGCTCAGTTGGTAAGCGCCCAGGGTCGTTTCGTAAACGCCAAACCTTGGGGTCGGGGTGGCCGTTCTTCCTCCCTCTGCGAGGCGGGGATTTATCTACATCCACCGCCTGGGAACCGACGTCCTGGTGCCCCAGCGGGCGGCAGATATGGATATAGCTCGGCCCCCGAGGGCCCGAATATGTCCACATCCACCGCCTGCCGAGGCTCCGAAAACTGACCCTCCAGGCGGTGGACATGGATCAACTCCCGCCTGGGGCCCTTGGCAGCCGCTTCCAGTGGAAGCACCCCAGCAGCGGCGTGCCCTCCGCCCCCGGCGGGCCGCGCCCCAGGCCGCGCGCCCTCCCCGCCGCCGCGCGCGCGGCGGCCCGCGGAGGCCCTCGCGCGGGCGCCGCCGCGCCGCCCGCGGCAGCGCGCGGTGCCCCTCGCCCGCGCCCCGGGGGCCCCGCGCCCACCGCGGCGGCGCCCGTGGCGCTGTCCGCGGGCGCTGCGTCCCGGGGGCCCTTCGTCCGCATGCGCTTGGCGGGGCGCTCGCCCGCCGGCTCGGGGCGCGGCGCCCCGCCTGCCGCCGCCGCCCCGGCGAGGGGCGCGCCGGCGCGCTCGAGCTGCGAGAGGACCCGCGCGTACTGGCGCGAGAAGATGCGCAGCGACTGCCTCCGCCGCGCGTCGCGGCCGCCGGTGCGGCCAGCGAGCATGGTGGTGGGCCTGTTTTCCACCACCACCACCAGAAGTTGGAGGGGGGAAGGAGGTGGAGGACGAGGAGGAGGAGGAGGACGAAGAGGAGGAGGAGGAGGAGGTGGAGGAGGAGTAACTAGGAGGACCCCCTCCCCCTCCAACTTATGGTGCTGGTAGTGGAAAGCGTGCCCATCACATGGGGTCCCGGGGCGGCCAGCAGAGCGCGGGCGGCAAGGGTTCCTCCCTGCGGTACACCGCATGTCGTCGGCGGATCTGGGCGGCCCTCCACGGCGGCACCACGGCGCAGCCCTTGGCTCGCCCGCCGCTGCGTTGGAGGGAGGCCAGCTGCCGCAGACGCTCGAGGTAGGGCGCCGAGTAGAAGAGCCTGTAGGTGGCCAGGACGATGTCAGCATCGGCCAGGTCCTGGACGGATGTGCGCTTTAGCTGGGCGTAGGTCTGGAGCGGGATCACCTTCAAGCCCCCGGCCACGAACTTCTGCACCTCAAGCACCCACTGCGTGATGAGGTTGACGGGGCACACGACAAGCGTGGCCCTGCTCGGCACCAACACCCTGCCTCGGCCTCCAGGGTGGCGGGGGGCGCCCTCGCCGCGGGTGCACTCCACGAGGCCGATCGTCGTCGCGGTCTTGCCGTACCCGACCTTGTCGGCCAAGATGCCCCCGCGCACCCGCACCGCGCTCCGCAGCCGCCCGCGGATCCTCCAGCCGTGCAAGCGGGTGGCCGAGTCCACGGCCTCTGGGGGACCCAAAAGATACCAATACCGCTACTCCCCAGACCTCTCCCAGGGTGCATTCTGACCAGAAGCTCCAGGCGAGAGCCGTGGCGTCGAGGGCCTCCCAGGAGCCCAAGACGCGACCACGAAGCAAGGGGAGTGGCATACCTCGGCGCCCTTCTCCTCCTCCGAGCCTCGCGGTCGAAGACGAAGGCCTCCTCCGACCGCTCCGCCTCGCGCATCCACCGCAGCGTGCGCAGCTGCTCGGGGCGCAGGGGGTGGTCGCGGAAGCGCGCGGGTTGCTCGTGCTCCGGGTCCTTGATGAGCATGTTTTCCACCACCACCACCATAAGTCGGAGGGGGAAGGAGGAGGAGGAGGAGGAGGAGGAGGAGGAGGAGGAGGAGGAGGAGGACCCCCTCCCCCTCAAACTTCTGGTGGTGGTGGAAAACAAGCCCACCAGTCCTCGTGGTTGCTCAGCAGCGTGAACGGCAGGTCCGCCGTGGGCGCAGCGGCTCTGGCGCCGCCGCTCGGCCCCGCCCGCGGCGCCGCAGGCGTGCCTGCGCCGCCCGCGCGGGGCGCGGGCGCGGCAGCGCCGCCCGACGAGCGCGCGGCGGAGGCGGAGCCGCCCGCCGCCGCCGCCGAGCTGGCGGCCGCTGCCGCCGAGCTGCCTTCGGCCGCCGCCGAGGCCGGGGAGAGCGCGGCGGCCGCCGAGGAGCTGGCGGCGCCGGCGGCGGAGGCCGCGCCGGCGGAGGCCGCCGCCGCTGCGGAGGCGGGCGCGGGGGCCTGGCGCTTGTCCTCCAGCCGCCACTCGAAGCAAATGTCCAGCGCGCTGGGGTCTTGCCGGCCGCTGGCCACGGGCCGCGAGGAGGCGAGCAGTGCCAGCAGCAGCAGCCCTGGCTGCACGCAGATCCGCAGCTCGAGCGCGTCGCCGCTGGAGCGGCAGACCTCGTGCTGGATGGCCTTCGGGATCGCGAACTCGTCGAAGAACCTGTCTGGGTTGAGGAGGGAGGTGGCGAAGGACACGTGCTCGTCCGTCCGCTCCCGCGCCAGCTCCACGAGCTGCTCCACCAACGGCTGGAGGTCGCGCCCTCCGAACGCGCACCAGCCCGAGACCGCGTCCGGCACCTCCTGCACGCGCTGGCAGTGCCCAGGCCCCGGCAGTGCAAGGAGGCGGGCCAGTCTCCTGGACGCAGTCTTGGCCCTCGGCCACCGGAACGCCTCGTCCAACTCCCGGTACAGCGCCCGCAGCGTGGAGCAGTGCTTCCTCCAGGCTGGCCCGGTGCGCTCAGCGTGCTCCTCTCAGGATCGAGTCGACTACAGAACTGATTTGCCCCAAACTTGATGTGTCCGTCGAATGCACGGAAACTGCGTAGAATGCTCGTAGATCTACGAGCATGCTACGCATTTGCTGGCACATCCGACGAGAAACTCAGCCCTGGGGCAACTCAGTTCTCAGGCGACCCCCTGCTCGATCCTCGTGGTGCAGGTTCATCAGCCCCACCCAGCGCCCGATGGGCAGGGCGGCGCGCACGTCCGCGAGGGTGGCCTCCGGGCGCGGGCCGCGGCGGCGCCCGGCCTCTCTCCCCGCCGCGGGGCCCAGGCGCAGGGACGTCCGCAGCACCTGCGCCCGTGCCTCCCACCACGGCGCGGCGTCGTCGCGCCCGCACGCCAGGCGCTCGAACTCGGG